GAACCCGCCACCTTAGGTGTACGTGGCTGGCGCCTTAGCCGGTTGAGCTATAGGCTCCGAGCCCTAATCAAACTTCTTAATGTTACAGCTAAGGAAAGTAAATAAATGGTAGAAATAGGAAGAGGAACTAGATGTTTAGTCTCCCAGTTTAATACCCTTTCCATTTTTTTTTTTTTTGAGACAGAGTCTCCAGCTGTTGCCTTGGGTAGAGTGCTGTGACATCATAGCTCACAGCAACCTCCAACTCTTGGGCTCAAGCAATCCTCTTGCCTCAGTGTTTCTACTTTTTAGTAGAGACAGGGTCTCACTTTTGCTCAGGCTGGTCTTGAACTGTGAGCTCAAGCAACCCACCTGCCTCGGCCTCCCAAAGTGCCAGGATTATAGGCACGAGTCACTGCGCCTGGCCTACCCTGCCCATTCTAACAGAGAAATAGTATAATTTGCAGACATATACAAGGTTCAGAGAGAGATGCTTACCCTTCAATTTATTCATTGTACCAATGTTTCCAAGAATTCTTCTAGGACTGTTAGCTGCAAAATAAGCTGCGGTTTCATATTCACCAAGTGCGAGTAATTCATTAAACCTGTAGCCAATGCATTTCATAATGCATCACAATGATACACAGAAAAAGAGAGAATCATTAAAATTATCTAATAAAGACTAAACATAATGGCATAATAATATAAAACATTAGATTCATTCACAAATCATTAGATTCATTCACTCTGTAAGATGTTCTTTAAATTCTTTCTCTAATATTCTGTTGTTTCTTTTAGTCTCAGAAAAAAACTCTCTCACCTGCCAACTAACTTTGATTTTTTTTCAGACAGAATCTTGCTCTGTTGCCCAAGTTAGAGTGCCATGGCCTCAGCTTAGCTCACAACAACCTCAAACTTCTGAGCTCAAGCAATCACCCTGTCTCAGCCTCCTGAGTAGTGGGGACTACAGGTACAGAACAATGCCTGGCTAATTTTCCTATTCTTAGTAGAGATGGTCTCTAAATCCTAAACTCAGGCAATCCTCTCATGTCGCGTTCCCAGTGTGCTAGGGTTACAGGCACAAGCCACCATGCCTGGTGTGCCAGCTAACTTTGAACCCGATCCTGTACTTTATTTCTATAGTACTTTCAGCAAGCCACAATGGAGAGAATGAACCTGAAGTAAAATTACAATAAGCTCAGAATTTTTCTCTCATATTATCTCCATATGAAAGATTCCCAGTATCAGGGGAAAAAAGAGCAATCTGCCTACAAACTCAGCCTACAGGAAATATTAATTGAACACAGATGTTGTCAAATTGGAGTTCAAGAGGTATCCTTCGTATTCAGATGCCTACGTTACTCTGCCAAGCATCAGACCCCCAATTAAATATCAGAGTAACACAAGGAAAGATAATGGAACAACTTAAGCCTCTATTCCTCTTCCTACAGCCAAAGGTTTTCAAATCAGCCCTTACCTCACAGTTAATAAAAATATGGCAATCAAGATTTACATAGGGTTGGATATGAATGTGGAACCAAAGAGGGGAAGAGCGACTGAAATAATATTAAGCAAAATATCTAACACTTTATATCTCAACAAGCATTTTTCTTTCCTATCAAAACCAGTAGACTTAAGAGAAGCACACAGAGTAAGGAATAACACAGGCTTTTGTGTCCTTCTCCCAAATTACCTTTAGCCTCTTTTTGATACTGTATTAACAAGTAAATCAACAGTTGAAAATGGTTTAATGAATATGACTAGGAATATTAAATTGTTCATTACATATTAGCCTCAGAGCTTATTATTTAACCTCCTAAGGAAGATAGTCTTAGATCTTTTTAAGTTTATCATATACTATATAATAACTTAAGTATTAGAGAGAAATATGCCTTATTTATTTATTAGAGACAGAATCTCACTTTATCACCCTCAGTAGAGTACTGTGGCATCACAGCTCACAGCAACCTCCAACTCTTGGGCTTCAAACCCACCACCCTCAATATATGGGGCCAGCGCCCTACCCACTGAGCCACAGAAATAAGCCTTTTTAATAAGTCATAGGATAGAAATAATGCAGATTTCCTTTCTGCACTAAATTGGCTAGGACGGCATGAATTAAGAAAACATTTTCAAAAATATTTTATAACATCAGGTTGATGGCTAGAGAATGTAGACTCTCAATCTGGTATTTTTCTTTTTCTTTCTTTCTTT